TTCAAAAAACAATAAATCAGAAGGAAAAGTTTCTACTTGTATTTCCAAATATTTTGCCAGTTTGAATACATGAAGAGCATACACTGTGCACATCATTTTCATAAAATAATCAGAACTTTTTTTGAGCTATATTAGTACAGTATTGTAAAGATTCTTTGGCTGGATATTTTTGTGTGGAGAGGATGCTGCTGGACGACACCTGATTGTGTTCATGGCTCATTCTTCATTCTGTGCTCAAGGATCACTCCTGACAATACTCAGGGGACCTTATGTGGTACACAGGTATCAAATCCAAGCTGGCCACATGCAAAACAAGTGCTTTATACCCTGTGTTGTCTCCCTAATTCTTAGTGCAAGATACTTAAGGAAGTCACTACCCCATCTTCCCCTGCCTCATGGACACAGTTATCTTACAGATTCAGTTCTTGAAACCCGAAGGCTAGGTGTTTGCTTGTCTAATGGCTGTCCTCATACATATTTTACAGAAGCCCATTCCAGACACGTTTACTCACCTTTAGAAAATGAGCCTAACTCTATATATCAAGAGATCAGTGAAAAAAATAGTGCTGAATTATTCTAAACATATAAAGGGAGAAAAATGCATTTGCAAATTAGCAAGGCAATATTTGAATTCTGGCTCTGTGACTTGCCAGCTATGTGGCCTTGATCGTATCACTTAACGTCTTTGTATCTTATTTTTTTCTACTATAGTACGGAATAGTGATGAATTAAAAGAGATAGTTATAGTTGTTTTAACCTAGTTAAATCTATAGTTAACTTCCTAGTTTTATAGCACAGCAGGTAAGGCGTTTGCCTTACAAGCGGCCAACATGGCCGACCCGAGTTCGATTCCTCCGCCCCTCTCGGAGAGCCCGGCAAGCTACCGAGAGTATTCGATATGCCAGACACAGTAACAACAAAGTCTCCAATGGAGATGTTACTGGGCCCACTCGAGCAAATCGACAATCAACGGGAGGGCCTTTACCATTACCTTTATTTTATAAAACTTATCTCTATAAGCATTGGTAGACATTCTGAAGAATGGTTGCCATAAAAGCTCCTTTCCCACATCTCCTGAGATGTACTTTTCCTGCACAGCTGACTTATTATAGAGCCGAACGCAATGTGTTTATATATGGAGTTAGGAAGATATTTCCTATCAACAAATTATTAAAAAAAAGAGCTGGTATAAATGTCTATTTGATGATATGAGTATATTAGTGATGGCCAGAAGAAAAGAATACTCCTGGGAGCATAAGGCAGGGATGAGGGGATAAGTAGTGTTCACGAAAGTGTGAGGAGCAGCAGAGGTGGGGTAATAATTGGGTCAAGAAGTGTCAAGTCACTTCATCCTTCTAATAAGAGCTTTCTAAAGAATTGGCACTTCTGTCATTTTCCCATCCACAGCTACCATGTGTTAAACAGGGGAACACAGGGCTGAGTTCATCTCTTCACACTCCCAGCTCAATCGCACGTCAGCCCTGAACAGGAGGCAGGAGCACCCCCATCTTGAACAAGTCAAGATTCAGAGAGGAGCCATTTTTCCAAGGGCCACAGTAAGCCAATGACCTAACTGGGATTTGATTTCAACTGAGATTGCTTTACCCCAAAGTTGGTGTATGACACACTGTTTTTAACAGTGATGAATGCTACTATTCCTATTTTGCTGTGTTTTCCTTGGGCAGAGAGGGATTGTGGAAGGCCACACTAGTCATGCTCAGAACTTCCTCCTGGCCTGCACTCAGGGATCACTCCTGGCAGTGGGTGGGCAGCCAGGTGTGGCATCAGGCTCTACTGCATGCCAGGCAAGTGCCATGACTTCTGTACTATCTCTCCTGCCTAGATGAACTATGTAAGGTGAACTGTGTAAGGTGCTCGCCTTGCATGAGGCTAGCCTTGATGGCTCCCTTTTGTACAGGCTTCTGCTACCGACACTTTCCTTTTCCCAGGCGGAATGAATTTTCCCTTCTTGTTCTCCAGCTGGGCTGGAGCAATAGCACAACGGGTAGGGCGTTTGCCTTGCTTACAGCCAACCTGAGTTCGATTCTTCCTCCCCCCTCCACCCCCCCCGCCCCATCTCAGAGAGCCTGGCAAGCTTCCGAGAGTATTCCGCCTGCATGGCAAAGCCTGGTAAGCTACCCATGACGTATTCAATATGCCAAAAACAGTAACAACAAGTCTCACAATTTGTTGTGAGGTGTACTGGTGCCCACTCGAGAAAGTAGATGAACAACGGGAGGACAGTGCTACAGTTCTCCAGCTGTCCACTGCCGAGAAACCTAGCCCAGCATCACGTGTATTTATTGTGTGTGCTAGACTCTATAACTGCTTCTCCTATTAGCCTGAAAGCCCCCAAGGAATAAGTTTGAAAGTGATTTTCCATTTAACCATTCACATAGACTTTCTAACTCCTAGCACCAATAAATAAATATGAATGAATACCTTTACCCATTTAGTACTGTGTCCATGGCTTTGATAAATAAGCTAAACTCTTTAAACATAATGTTCCTCGCCACCAAATGGGGAGCCTGAGAGATAGATCAACTGTGCAAGGTGCTCGCCTTGCATGTGGCTAACCCTGGTGTAATCTGCAGCACTTCCGTGAGTGGTCTCTCAGCATAGCCTGGTGTAGCCCAAACCAGCCTCATTCTCAAAAAGTAAAATGAGAATGATCCATAGCCTTCCTATATAAACTGTGTGAGGATGAGAACATGGTTGACATGTCACCACGCAATGTAGGGGTCCTACTCAATACTGAGTAATTGTTAACTATCATTACCATGACAGTTAACATGGTAATGATAGTTAAGGTGATCAGCCCCTCACCTTTAGAGACTAAAAGCATTTCAGAGCAGTGAAATGTCAACACCAAGGAAGAAATGGAATCAAAATGTCCCTGGGGTGGACTATAATATTCTTTTTTTTGTGGGGGTAGGGTTTGGGAGCTGCACCCACCTGAGCTTAGGAATCATTCCTGGCTGTGCAGTCAGATGTCACGACTAGTAAGTAAGGGATCAAACAGGTTCCACCTCACTGTATTATCTCTGCGGCTGCTGAGATATTATCTATTTTTAATATTATTTGTATTTATTTATTTATTTTGGATTATTGGGGTCACACCCAGCAATGCCCAGGGGTTGCTCCTGGCTCTGCACTCAGGAATTACTCCTGACAGTGCTGGGAACCATATGGGATGCTGGGGATTGAACCTGGGTCAGCTGTATACAAGGCAAATGCCCTAACCGCTATACTATTGCTCCAGCTCCAAGATATTCTTAAACCCCATACTTCTCTGCAATTTCTGAGCTCTAGAAAACCCTTCAGCTACCGGATCCTGGTGGATTGATCCTCTTCCCTTCCCCCCCTTCCCCCCCTTCCCCCTCTCCTCCCCCCCCCCCTCTCAGACTGTGGTGGGCAGAGAGAGGTAACTGAGCAATTCCACAGAGCTCTATCAACTGCTGGGAACAGACAGACAGAGCTCCCTGTGGAAACATCCAAGTTCGTGGGACCCAGACTGCCTTGGGGAAGAATCCCCTGGCTTCTTAACATTCCTATAATGTAATATTTCCTAGTACAAAGCCAATATTCCCTTTCTCGGGATAAATGCTATATTTTTATAGGTTAAATCTTTAGATTTTTTCTTTTAAAATTTCTAAATTATCACTCTTACTAAATTTTACATTTGTAGACTTTACCTATTCTATGTGAACTCCAAAATGTTCTAGCACTGTCTAGCACTGTCCTCCTGCTGTTCATCGATTTTCTTGAGCAGGCACCAGTAACATCTCCATTGTGAGACATTTTGTTACTGTTTTTGGCATATTGAATATGTCATGGTTAGTTTGCCAAGCTTTGCCATGCAGGCGGGATACTCTTGGTAGCCTGCTGGGCTCTCTGAGACGGGCAGAGGAATTGAACCCCGGTCGGCTGGCAAATGCCCTACCTACTGTGCCATTGCTCCAGCCCCCAAAATATCCTAGCAAAGATTTTTTTATAAGTTTTATTTGTGGCAGGGAAGATGTGTTTATTACCACAATTATACAAAATAAAATTGAATGCAATATATTATAGATGCCAGAGTTGGAAACTTATTTTTTTTAAAAGAGAATAGGTATATTATAATGTATTCAGTGATTAAAACTTCTTTACACAGTATAAAATCATATAATAATCAATCATCACAAATTGACTTTTCGATAGATTTTTCTGACAATTTGCCATTCCTTCAAGTTTGTTGGAGCAAGCATATGAAGTAAATTTGTTATGTTCTTGCTGAAGGGGTCAGCCTGAGGGTGGGAGGCAGTCTGGGGACATTGATAGAGGGAAGGTCACACTCGTGGTGGAGTTGGGGTTGGTACACTGCATGCCTAAAACATCTCTATTATGAACAACTTTGTAAATCACAGTGTTTTAATAAAAAAGACATTTAAAATAATAATAAGAAGAAGAATACAAACTCTGAATTCTCTGAATTCGATGCTTCATAGCTTGTGTATCTAACTAGCATCTGGAGTGATTTTTCTGATCAGTGGAGTTGGAATACATTTCTTGCTGGGCTAAGAAGGATAAATAAGAGTGACACTTGGCCTCCAGAGGGGAGCAGTTCAGAATATGAGGGTTCTTGCTGGGTCCTGCTGGGGGCGCCCTGTACACCCCACCCCACGTTTGTTCATAGAAAGGCTAAAGCAGTTCTTCCTAAAAACGCACCGGAGCTTATCTAGTGGGGACTAGAACAGTCCCCGGGGAGTGGAATTTGGGGGCTTTTTTTTTGGAGGGGTCTGTGATGCTCCTGCTTGACCAAGTCTCTGAATCCGAGCCCTTTGACACCCACAGTTTTACTAGCAAAGCGGTCGGGGTGCTTCCCACGGGGGCTCTCTGCAAGCCCCCTTCCCCCCAGCCCCAGTTTCCCGAGCAGGCACTGTGATGTGCGGGTTCGAGGAATCAAGCCCTGGGAGGAGGACGCAGCTGCTGCTGGGGCACAAGCAGGGACCTGCCCAGGCTCCGCGAGAGCAAAGTACCGCGCAGGCAGCGCGTAGCCGGCGGGGCATCCTTAGGGCGCAGCGCTCCCGGGCAAGTTCCCTGGGAGTGGTCCCCGCTCTCCACTGGCGCCGCCAAAGTCTCCAGCTCTCCAACAGATGTTTCCCCGGCACCTCTGAAGTCCAAGGCGGCGCTGGCCGGCGCGCGGTGGCTGGGGGACCCCGGCGGGCAGATGCCAGCATCAGCATGAGAGGCTGGACTTTAGCCCAGGCCGGTCCTCAGCCCGGGGGGCCGCCACTCCGCCCGAGACTTGTGCGAGGAGCCGCCGCTCACTTTGCCCCCAGTCTTTGTTCCCAGCCAGAGGTTGCTCGGAATTGCTAATTAACTCCCTCGGCTCCGAAGGGGTCCGGGGGCTGGGATGCTCTGCCAGCCTGAAGGATGCTGACTCTCGAGTGGGAGTCGGAAGGACTGCAAACAGTGGGCATTGTTGTGATTATATGTGCGTCTCTGAAGCTGCTTCATTTGCTGGGACTGATTGATTTTTCCGAAGGTAAAGTGGTCGCTTCCAGTCTGTGCCTTTGGTCGGGGCTGTTTTGGCACTTGGAGACAGACACTGCTGAAGTTGAGCGGGCTTAAGACCCCCCCCACCCCACCCCCCAAGTAAAAGTTGTGAACCATGCATGCTTGACCTGAAGCCATCTAGCTCCGGACAGTTCATTTCTGGGTGCCCAGATGTTTAACTTTGGAAGGGAAGGGGGTACTGTGCCTTAATTGTTCTCTCTGAACGCTGTCTTGAATTTAGAGTGCTACCAGGGGTTAAATGAATTTTCCATACATTTATGGAGTTGTGGGGAGGGATGGGGGGTAGGAGTTAGAACTCTTTACTAAGAGGTGAGAATATTTATATATATATTTTCTTACTTCCTTTTATCTGGGTGGGGTGTGGAGGGGGGTTCATCTGTCATACTTCATGTCATTAATGAACCCATCCTCCCAAGGAGTATCCTGATTTGTGAGGGAAACGTTTGTGTGTCTCATTATGAAGGAGCAGGGATGGGGGTGGAGCTGGGATGTTGGTGATGATATAAAATGAGTAAGGTTTTGCTAAGGAATGGAGTTCGTGAGTACTTAGCAAAAGCATGCTTGAACACAATGAACAAAAGTGTCTTTTTGTTCTTTGCATTTCCCAGTGAGCCACTTCGATCATTTTCGTTGGTCGAATCCGTGACCGTGTGATTGCTGTCAATAAATTTTGTATCCATCTAGTGTAGAATTTACTATCCAGATCAATTTTATTATTCAAGGAGGGGAAAGAGAAAAAGAAGTTGATTAGCTTTGCTTAAACAAATTGAATATATTTTAACAATTTGCATATGTGTATACACATGTAGGTAGCTTGTTTGCATGATTTTTTTTTTTTACTGAAATAACGTACTCTAACTGAAGCAAACCCTAATTATAAGACACTAATACTATATGCACACTCTCGTATCTTCTCAAGTTAAAAAAACAAAACAGTTTCTGGGGCTACAGTTGCTCTTTCTTTTTGACAATCATAAGAATTTTAATTGCTATTATTCCTGATTATTCACTTCTCATGTTGTGTGAGACCAAGGTGGTGGAAAATATTTAGGTTGTCTATGCTTCTGATCTTTAATTCCAGGAGTTAAGTCCTGATAGCTAATATGACATCATCCCACATTATATCCAGAACCCAGGTAGTTTCTCTTAATATTTTAATAATAGTCATTTTCTCTTTCCTTGTGAAAGTCTTTTTTTTCTTACAAAGTGGACTCATTAGTAGTCTAAGAGCACAGGAAGTTCTCATGTAATTTTTATATTTTCTTGTACATGTTCTCAATCTTTAACGAATTTTTCTTGGACTCGTATGAGAATATTGCAATGGGATTAAGTAATGCCACCTAAATTCATCTCTTTTCTCATATTGCATACATTTTTTACTTAACCTCTGGAAGGAAAATGGTACATAGGCAAACTTTCCCAAGCACAACATAACAGTATTACATTGTTTTCAAGTTTTTACCTGCCTTGCCTTGATGTTGATTTCAAGAAAAAGCAGATCATTCCGATTTCTGGGGTTAGAAGAATTGACACCTGCTTTCTGTTATCTCCATTATTTATTTATCACTGTCTTAGTTGATCAGAGTTCCCACCTTTCATATACTGTGCTCAAGATAATTTAGTTTCCGAGCTAGCTGAAGCAATTTCTAAAGAATAGCCATAGGGAGGTATTTGAGGAAATCAACTTTTACAGTTCTCTGAGCTAGCACACAGTTATTTTATTGCCAACATGGATAACACAGACATTTAAACTCAAAAGTTCCAAGTGTAAGATCCCTGCAAATGACTCAGCTTTTCTTCGTTAAGTCCTTTTTTGTGCCACTGTACAAAAGTTTTCAGGTAAAAACCTTCGAATTTGAGTTCCAACAATTGAAAATAGAAATGTAAACCTGACTCCCCCAGTTAGAATCACAGAATTTTGAGTAGTTCTGAAATGCCTCCCTAGGGAGAGATTTCCATATTCAAATCCAAATAATATCCATATCCATATATGAATGCATGCTTCTATACACACATATATATATAGATGTGCCTACATATTTATAGATATTATATAAAATGTCCAACAAGTTAAGCAAACTTTGTATTCAACACAGAAGGCTTTATCATGCTGCAGGGAAGAGTTTATCACCATAAACAAAATACATAGCCCCATCTTTACTCATTTTGTTATTTTCTCGTTTTGTTTCTGAAGTACCTGTTAAGAGATGATGGCCTAGTAAACTCTCATTTTATATAGACATCAATCTAGAGAGGCTAAATGATTGATTGAAAGGCAAAAATAATGAGGAGCAGAGGTAAAATATATACCAAGGAATACTGAATCTTAAGCAGTATTTTTTTTAAAATTGTAAATATTTTTTTTCTTGATTTCTGGCATACAGTGCTGGGAAATGAAATTCTTGAAAGTGTTGAGGAGAAAATACCTGAATTCCTAATCCTTGTCCTATACTGTCTGATAGCCTCTAATAGCATCTGAAGCAAATAAACACATAGAAAATTCAATGATCATGTAAGTTCTACAAGGTTTTGACCCTGACACAAGGGTGGGACCCATGCATGGCACAAAGCAAGCTAAAGCTCATCATAAACTTCGTCATAGAGAAGACGCAGCATTAGAGCAAACACAAACACGTGCTCTTTTGAAGTGTCTTCCTCTAAGGGTGACACTGAGTTTGTGGTTTATATTTAGAAAGAAAAAATATCCACTTCAAGTAGTGTCCAACAATGAGACCCACTAAGAGAATTCTGACCTATTCTTCAGATTGTAGTAGCACAGCAAAAATAGAAACCAGGGTTTTTAATCATCAAATGAAAGAACAAGGTAAAATAAGATAAAGGGCAAGTCACAAAATACTAGAATATCAAACCCTTCCTTTGTTTACGATTGTTTGTGGGCTACACCCAGCAATGTCAAAACTTACTCCTAGTTCTGCACTCAGGAATCACTCCTGGTGAGGCTCAAGGGACCATACGGGTTGCCAGGAATGGAACCTGGGTTGGTTGTATGCAAGGCAAACACCCTGCCTACTATATTATCTCTCTGGTCCTAGACCTTTTGTTTTCTTCTACTTGCAAATAATAAAGAAATGGTGAGTGGTAATTCTAATGTAGTTTGTTAAAGAATTTATTGATATCACATGACCTAAAAGTAAGGTCCCAAAGAAGGCTAATGAATTAGCCACTACTTTTGAATGAGAATTGATGTGGCTGAAACTAAAGAGCAAAACCTTGAACTATTGAAAGACAACATTGAACATCATACTACCTTCATGATGTATTGATTCTTCATGGGCACCACTGTGCCACTGTGGAATATTTTCTCCAGTAAGACTTTCCATGAATTTTCTGCAAAAGCAGCAGTGAGTTTACTGAATGAAAGCATCTAGCAGTGCCAGAATAAGCCATTGTAACATGGATATTAGTCTACAATCGCCAGTGAGAATTACCCATGGGCAGGAAAAGGTTAAGAGAAGCATTTCCGCTTCTATCTAAATTAGATTCTGATTTTGATAAAGCTCTATTTTAAAAAATAATCCTTTTTCAGTTGAAATTCAGGGCTTCAGAAGCAAAAGCAATTTTTAAAGAGGATTAAAATGACTAATGGGATTTTAATATAATGATTTGCAGTATTACACATATCCACTGATTAATAAGGGGAATAAGGAAGAACACTCACATGACTAATCTCATCATTTTATAGTTTAATATGGAATGTATTATATTCTAAGTGTATTCAGGGTCTTCTGTTGGATAATGACTGAGTGAAGGGCTAGATGAATATTAAAGAAACAGGCCTTCAGTAAACTAACATTCTAGTAATAAAAATGCACTATCTAATGGGGTAGAGGAGAAGTAAGTACTGGCCATAAGTCCATTGTTCTTATAAAGAAGTGGTTTTCAGAAGCAGAGATAAGGTAGTTCATTCTGGAAAGGGCTCAAGGAAGAGTTTTGTGGATAAAAAGTAGTTGTTTAAATCTTTACAATTGGGAAGAATTTCCCAGATAAGAGAATGAGAGATAACATTCTATACAGAGCTAAGATCTTCAGCTGTGCAACTCTAAACTCTGAGGGAAAGTGACTTTTTTTGTGAATAAGGGAGAGAGGTATAGCCTCCTTGAAAATGTGTACATTGAGTGGAAAATGAAGTGGTACCTTAGGTTAAATTCTGAGCGTGTCCACATACTCCTTAATAAGTAAGGACTCACTTAACAATGTCTTCAAGCCTGGGTGGACAAATGAGCAATGTAGTATACTATTGTTTTCAGTTGGATCCATTTGGAAGTTGGTAAAGATGAACTCAAAGGAGCAGTATCAGAGATGTATTATACTTCAGATGAATGAACACAAAGCAGAAATTTTTCACATGCTTAGAGTGAATTGCTAATTTCAGCTTTGACAGAAAATTGTGTTTAATATATTTGGCCTGTATCTGTTTTAAAATAGAATAATTGTTTTGTATTTATTTCATAGTAATGTTCTTTGGCTTTAAATATCTTTTCTTATGAAAAAGGGAAACAAAAATGGGCAGCATATGTTGTAAATATAGATGTGGGTAGTACATTTATGGTGGGAACTTCAATATTCTGATATATATGTGATTTCTTGCAAGATCTTCACTTATTTTCAACTTTTCATTTTGGAAAATTTTACACATAAAATAAAGTATAGAATAGAGTATAATAAGATGCCTCATGGTCATCACCTATCTTCACTCTTTACCAGTACTTTACCATTTATGTGTTGGCATTACTGGCACTCAAAAACATTTCTTGATTATTTTACAGGTGATGAGAAGTATTTTTAAAGGAAATAAGATGCAAAATATTATGATATAGAGAACTGTGCAAGCCAAAGGTGTAGAAGAAAATGAAAAATGAGTCCCAGTAGAAAGGACTTGACTCATCAGTCATAACTCCTTAAAGGATGTGACTTTTCAGCTGGGTCTTAAAAGATGTAGAATAATTT